TGGGAGTGAGAGTGAGTGACCGGGGAGGGGGGTGTGAGGTGAAGTGAGGTGTGAGGTGTGAGAGTTGAGACTGAGAGCGAGAGAGCCAGAAGAGTGAGGTGAGAGGGGTGTGTGAAAACAGGAGTGAGGCCTGTGTGAGAGTGAGAGTGAGAGTGAGTGGGTGGATGAGTGGTGGAGAGAAGGTGGGAGAGTGGGAGGTTCCCTGGGTCGGGAAAGCCGAGAGCGACAAGTGCTAAAATTGCTCGGGAGCCTGCGAGGTAAATGTACCTTTTTTCTCTCCCCTCCGGCAAGTCGTGGGTTCAGAAAGTGAGAGCGAGCCAAGCCACGCCTGAAGAGGGATCCAGCACCACGGTGACGATGAATGATGGTGATGTTTCCTCCCTTCTTCGCGTCTTGAACAACGCCTCTATTTTTCTGTCTCCCACTTAGACTTTTGGCTAGACACCGAGTAACTCTGTCACTAGACACCGACTCTGTACAAAGACAGATCGTTTATCGAGCCTGTCGAGCTGCTACGCAGTAAACACGAACAACAAGACACAAGGAACTTGTTCACCACACTTCGGGTCCTCGCACCCGATCTGCGACCTGGATGGAAACGACGGGGAACAATGACAATGGCCCGGTGAGAGAGGCTGATAAACGAACCAGAGGGTCTCGGGTTTCTATTTTGCTCGTGTCCGCCGTCCGCCGTCCGTCGTCGCGCTTAAAGCCAGACCCTCTGTGGAGCACAGATGATGATGGAAGAGTCGGCAATCCCAGTCGTGCCAGTTCCGTACTTAGAAAAGCTAGGGGAATTTGGGAAAACCCAAGGGAACGATACGACAGGGCGGCCAACGATCGTCTGTGCCCTTTTTTTTTCTTGTCTTGGTATCGCTAAAAGAATTGATATCCGTGGGATCACCGCAGTTCGGGTCCGGGTAGCGTGCTGGAGCGCGAGATGAAGAGAGAGGGATGATGCTAGACGAGGCACGTTTCGTCGATAGTGGGAGCTGAGGGCTGAAGGAGGGCTGAGGCCGGAGGGAGATCAAGAGTCGCAGGGGCGATGCCGTTTCGCCAAGATGCAGAGTCGCGAGAGAACAATAAACAACAACGAGGCGAGGGAGAAGTGAATCCTAACGCGCAGATGTTGTTGTCGGTGTTGGTGTTTGTTGTTTTGTTTCTTGTGGGTGTGAGATCACGGCCGAGATAAGGCAGACCGACGCTGCAGGTCTGAGATGAAAACCTGAGATAGAGTATAGTATGCCCACTCACACACACACACACACACACACACACACACACACACACACACACTCACTCACTCACTCTCACACCCACCACACTCTTGAGAGAATTAACCTCAATTGATCCCGTTCGTGAGGGGTGCGGTTCGCCGAGGTGGAGGAGGCGATGGTTGTGATGGTGGTGGTGCCCAAGGAAGAACTATGTGCTAGGTAAGCGTCGAACTCGGACGACGAACCCAAGAACGTGGGATTTATACGGATGTGCGGGAATACACCACAGAGTCGAATACGGATACTCCAAGATGGGACTAGCACTCTTGTCCAAAGAAGTTGAGGACAGGACAGAACTGGGGTTTGAATGCGATGCGATGCGATGCAAAGGGCCGGCCGAAGCAATAAGCAACAAGCAGCTGCAGGATTTACCAACTTTACGAACTAAATACTGCCAGATCAAAATCAAATGCCCAACATGGTGGTACCGCATGGTGACGACTGAATGGTAAGTCGCCGATGCGGGATGAACTTCCACACAGCGTATATGTCTACCGTAATATAGCTTCGGTGACTGAAAGAGAGCAAACAAGCACAACAGCTGATATCATGACCAACTCTTCTTGTTGGAGATACACATATCCATCCGGATACCGGAGTGACACAACCCATTGACAAGAAAGAGGGACGAGACAGAAAGCCCAAGCAAGCACGTACCGCACCCGCAAGCACAAAAGAGGCCAGGACCAGGGGCCAGGACGACACTTGGACAGACTGGGACAGGGACAGGCCAAGGACGAGTGTGACAAGGCGACACTCGACAGGGTGACAAAATGGTGACAAGGGCCCCGGTCCAACGTTGCATGCGCCCGGGGCAGCTCTTTTGCTGCTTAGTGTCTCTCCCTCTCCCCCATGTCTCTCTCACTCTCTGCCTGTGTCTCTTTCTCCCATGTTTCCCACTCTGTCTTCTGGATGTGTGCTCGCGCCGCTCTCCTCTATTGGCTCGCTGCCGCCGTAGCCTTCTCCCCTCTTGAGGAGAGAGAGAGGGCCTTTCGTCGCTCTTGTCATCGCCGGGTCCTACTTTTTCGTAGGTAGATCCACAAAGTTCAACGAGAACCCGTCTGTCTCTCCTGGCCATCTTTCGTTCACCCTGTGTCTATCTTGGATATTCTATGGATATCCTTACTATGGAGTCCTTCTCTCAGCTTGCCTTTCCCACGGCGCCACAGCCCACTTTCTTACCCTTCCCTCGCGGGCCTCCAGTGTCCACAATGGTTGTCAGTCTGCGGCGCTGCGGTCGTCGTGCTGTCGTTACTCGCTGGCGTACTCTCACCACCAGCTTGACAATGGGAATGGGAATCACCAAAGCCTCTTGGATACCGTCTCCCACTCTCAGTCTCTTCCCGTCTCTCTCCACTCATCGCACATCCACATCCGTGACTACTGTTGTACTGCTATGCTGCACGTAAACCCCTCGCCTGGCCCAAGCTTCCGGACTACACTATGCCGGGAGAATATGTCACCATCATGACTGCCGTCTTGTTCGGCTCTACTGCGAGTTACAAGTTTAAACGCTCAAGCTATGGAGTCCCTATCCGACACAATAGTAGTGTCTGCCGCTCTAGTGCCCGCCAATATTGGTTCCCTCAAGCGCCGTCTTTAGTATGCGTACACTACAGTACCGCGTAGAAACTAGAGAGCCAGACATCAAGGCAGCGAACAATTACGCTCTTCTCTGTACAATCGCACCCCCAAATCTCGATCGATCTTCCTAATCCACCGAGGAAATCCCACCAACGCGCTTCTCATCCCAGCCCGTCGCGTCAGGATTCAGCCCGGAACAGGTTCACGGTTCACATCGACCCCCAAGGTCGCGGAGCATTCGCCCGGCCAATCATTCCCATGGACGTTGATGTAATAAAGGTTACCCCTTCCAGAAAATCCAAGGAACCAAACTCGAGTCTCCAGAGTGGGATAACCAACGCCATAGCCAGCCAGGAGTCGGGGTCAGTTCCAGGACACACATTCCCAGTTCTCCGGGGCACATTGACGGCCCAGTCTTGCCAGTGGACACTGATGCTCTGCCGCCTTCGCGCTGTCTACTAGCAATGGCAATGTCCTCCGTCCTGTCGTGCGGCGTGCCTGGTGTCACCGAGTTTTTCCAGGTTTCCCATTATTGATCTTCAACGCACGTACGGAGATGGCCCTGTCCTGTACTCTGTATGTATGTAATGATCTCCAGGGCCTTTTCTTCTGCCCTCTTTTATTTCCTTATTTTCCTCTTCGTCACTAATGATCCCCCTCGCTTCGGCTGCCGTCCGTCCCCTTGTCCAGTGACTCTCTGCCACTCTGGTACCCCTGGTCTGTCCTACAACAACCCCCTACATGCAGTAATCAACCCCGTAGTCTTTGCTCATTCCTTCTGGTTTTCCCTGTTTTTTGAGGGCTGAATCCTTCCCACGAGATTGGATCGGTGTGGTCACCGCTGGAGCTTCAGTGGTCTCTGAGCTCTGTTACCTTGCTTTCTCGAGTGATCTTCGCACTATTACCCCTACGAGATCCTTCCGTGCCGTTATGCAAACCCCCCTTTTTGCCGTCTCCAGGTTCTCGATATTGCTCGGTCAGAGAACCAAAGCCTCCATCACACTGCCGAAAGGGCTTGCGGTGAAGGGCAGCAACTTCCAGCAGCCGGCAAAAGCTCAGGACAACATCCAGCGCTGGCCAAACAGGGCAAGTCAGGGGCGAGTTGCGACGGCGGTGATGTAAGATGCGGCAATCGCCCGTCCGCCGGGGAGCTTGAGTGATGTCGCCCCGTCCATTCGCCAACAATGTGACAGATGACAGCACTGCGTTCAAAGCACCATTTTCCCTCAGATCATCTCGAGCAGAAGGCCCCCTCGACCGTGATGAACATGGACATGACCTTATGTTCCCCCCGCACTCTCGGTATGCCCTTTCCGGACGCTATGAGGAAGAACGAAATTAGGGAACGTTAGCCAAGGAGTGCTGTTCTCGTTTGATCCGGCATCCGAATCCTGAATGACATTTGATGCTTGGAGAACCGACGCAACAACGCGAAGAATCTCATATCTGCTTTCCAGTGCCACGTCCGATGTTTGCGTTGCGATGTGCGGAGAGGCAAGTGACACGATCCCTGCTCGGGGGCCCAGATAATGTGGCCGTAATGCAGCGCCAATGCAAGTCAAGAAGTCGTTATCACGAAACTCGGAACCGTAATCACAAGTCTCGGCTTCTAATTCCCGTTCTCTGGTTGCCAAGGCCCAAAACGGCATGTTTGCTTCCATGTAGGCCTTGCTCCGCGATAGGAGAGACCCAACCTATGTACGAATATGCGGCTATTGGATTTAGTATCTCACCATAGGCAGGCACTGTCTACAAACAACACCAAGTCGATTGAGCATCGTGATATCTAAGACGTACTCTCAAGCCATCGTAAAGCCATTGGCCCATCTTGACATGCAACTATCTCGCCTTACTTGCAGGGAAACTCCACAGCTCAAGCCTGGCATGGCCGCATAGGACCTCAAAACAGCACCCGACTCCGGATCCGCCTCCACCACCACCGCCGCCGCCGTCTCCATTCATGATTCCATGCCTTCGACGTTCCTTCTCCAGGCCCACAATCCCATACTGGTGAGAGAAACGTGCAAGCTCGTGTGGGGGGGTGCGGTCCTCCGGTGAGAGTCCATCATGTAAGACAAGGCGCGCCATGCCCCGGGCCAACCAACAGGAAGCAGACCTTGAGGCTCAATAACGGCCGCTATGGATACAGCGGCGAACTTGCACAATATTCAAGCAACCAAAACCGAAGGTGGTGTTGCTCCTCCGAAGCGGACTCTGTCGACTCCACCCCGCCCATACCCGCCAAGGCACCACGATCCGGCCGCGCTCCGAGTATTCGTCTTCCAAGCCTCTTGGCCTCCGAACAATTTCAGTCGCTCTTGGACCGGCTCACATTTATACTGCAAGTGCTCAGGACTCAGACAGGGCGGCTCGGCTGGCCAAGTGGCGCGTTCCCTACGGACCTTGAGAAGAGACGTAGGACCTTGATTCTTGTGACCGACGTAGGAGAAATACAGTGCGGTACAAATACGCCGGTACGTATGCGTTTTGTCTATATTCACTACTCTACAGCTCCTCCAGTCCCGACGGCATTGACGGGACTGCGAGAAAATGGAATTGCGAAACGGTCATTGATTGGACTCCCCCGTGCGACGACTAACGAACCGCACACGCGATTTGATCAGACATGAGGTCAAGACAAGGGGAGAAACTTGGCTTTTCTGCTTCGCTTCTTAGTCATGATACGTCTCCCATATTAACCAGGCTCATCTTATTCGACCAACAAATCTCCCGTCTACCACGGCCTCGAGCCATATGAGGTCACATACGATGAGTTGTTCAGAGTCATTGCAGCCTCAACGGGTTTGCTGGTTCAATGACACCCGAACGTCACACCCGCATCAGGAGCAATCGTCGTGGCCGCTTTTTGACCATTTCACTGTGCAAACCACAAAGCAGCGCGCCCATCCCGAATCATCCGTCAGTCGAGTGTAACTGATCACCAGCTCAAGCAGGCTGAAGCACGAACACACCCACCCGTGACATTCCTCTCAGCCAACAGCCAACAGCATGTTGCAGCGTGGTAGCACACATAGCAAGCCAAGTCTCACAGGATAGCGCCCGAACGTGGTACTGCGTGCGGCCAACAGACGCCCCGGGTCCCGGCTGCGACCAGGTCAGACGGCTATGAGACCCCGGCTTGCCCGGGGATGGTGGGGAGGGGCCGAACTATGATTTCCATTCCTGAAAGCTGAGGGGGATGTAGGTAATCCAGAGGATACCGGTATGGGCGCACTTCTGCTGCAAGCACGGCCACAATTGCCAGCTCCAGAATCTGGGGAAGATGAATAGCGCGCGGCTGGTTGCTTTTGCGTCGGCGATCCATGCGGGCCCGGCGAACCTACACCAAGCCATTGAACGAGCCACCATTCGATGCGGTGTGGAATATTGAATATTGGATGTAGGGGCTGGGCTGTAGAGTCCTATCCGTGTGCATTATCAGACAAGTAACCCTTCAGAACCCAACCTTTGACGGATTACCTGAAGCAGGAGAAGAGACTCCATCGTCGAGGGCACTCTGTCCCAAAGCAGAAGATACAATTATCGCAGAGGGGTCATGCGGAAACAAGACATGACTCTGACTCTCTATCGTGGCCTCTGTCGCCGACGCATGCGGAACCTCTCCCCCTCGTTCTGGGGAAAGCCACGATAACCTCCTCCTCCCCCGGACCCCCGGCAGCATTCCAACCCGCTCCCCAAGTACGAGGAATGAAGGCTAAACTATCTGGTTCAACCCCGACCCCTCCATTGCCTAGAGGACGTGTCTTACTGGTCCGGGGAGGGACAGAATCTCTGCCCATGCAGATAGCTTGGCTTGTGTAGGATGGTTCAAGGCAAGGCAAAGGTAAGGCAAGGCAAGATGCGATAGGATGCCACGCTATGCCAATGTTGTGCACATTGGGTTCGTCGCTAATCAAGCGACCACTCTCGTTCGTTCTCGTTGATGCTAAGCAACGCTCGACGATACCAAGAGTCCAAGACAGCCACTGTTCCCCCTCGTCTTCCCCCCTTCATGTCCGCTTTCTAGCTGCCCGACTCGGAGAAGCGTAGTGGTCTAACGACAACCGACAGTGGTTCAAAGAGAAGCGCGGTTTTATTTCATCGCAATCTCCCATGCTGTCTACTAAATTATATGCCTTGCCTGAAGCCGCTACTCCGTACATGAAGCTTATTGTCACCGTACCTCCTCTTAGTCCCGGTGTCATTGATTTGAGAAATAAAAACGCCGAGAATTTCATCTCGGGTGCAAAGCATACCGAGAGCAGTTACCAGGCGAAGACGATTTGGGAGTCTTGGTGTACGCAAACCTGTTCAACAATGCCGCCGCCACTATGCACTTTGAATCTACGCAGTCACCGCCTCGGTGTAAGCCCGCCCGCATCCAATAGTCAGACCTCTATCCCCCCTCGCCGACGTTGCATTCCTCCCACTCCCACGCTTGTCCTCCTGGGAGATGCTGCCACGAGGGCCGCGGGCTGAAGAGGCTGCCGCATGTCTCAGCGTGGGACAGAAATCCTGAAAAAAATATCGTTGCTCTGCCCTAATGGTGTAGTTGCAACATCCTTACACAGTTGTCAGACAGACGAAGAAAGGAATCCCAATCACCGAATAGAGGCGGTCCAATGGCTCAAGCTTGTCCGCTCGTCACCATCCTCGTCGACAGAGTTCCTTTAATGATACTCTGTCGAGAGCTACGCCAAGAAAGCATGGGCCCGAACGACATGGGCGGCGCATCGCAAGGATCTTCACGGGGAGGGGAAGGTTGTCGTTTTAGAGGGAAACATCGCCAGGAGAAGGCTCCCATGGCAAGCATATACAATGGTTGACAAGAGCTCTGCCTCGACTATCGTTCGTTCATTCGAACTTTTGAAAGTGCCAAGACCAGCCCATTGAGAGGATGCAGCCTTGGAGTTGAAGTCTAAGTCGACAGATACTCGTCGTCCCGTCCTCCCGGGTGTTAGGTCTTCAATCTTGGCCAGACTCGCACAGGGCCGAGCGGTGCAGAACCAGCACAAGCAAACAAATACCGCGGGGAGACTTTTAAATGTGCCGCCCCCAATGCGACGTCGATTAGCAGCAGCCCTCATCCTGGGTGAGCTGAGCTAAGTTTTGGCCTAAGCAGCGGGATTTTCCATCGCCGGCGCAGAGACAACTCAGCTATGCAAGTCAAGCTGAGACTCTGTAGGAGAAGAAGCTCTAGATCCAGGGCTTTGGGTGTTGGGAGGATCCAACGTAGAGACAATTAACCTCATCATTGCATTCACATGATGCAAGGCGAGCGCCATGCCGCAAATCAGATCATCTCAAGAGCTCCGGAGGCGCGACCTTGGCGGACCCCGGGGCTTCTCACTCTGTCTCCTAAAGTACAGGCCGTCACATCACCCGTCATCGACCTCAAAAGCGGTGGGAAAAGCAGCACCGGTTGATTGACAGGACGGCGGTCGAAGTCCACTCCGTTAATGGCACGTATCGCGCCGTGCCCTCCCGGTCCTTGCCTGCTCCTCGTCCACCTCACAATGCGACACTGTTGACAGCAGGCTGATCTCACACAAGAGCTGACAGCCAGGCGACGACGGGAGGTGCGTTCATCCTGTTCTCCATCCTCGCTGCCGTTAACCTGGCCCGTGTCATCGTTGACAGAAAAGCAGAAGGTAGCAGGCGGGACGTCATGACAGCGTCAAGGGGGTTACAATGGCACCTCACTATCGTCGGTGTTTGGCAGAGTGGTTCCAGCTTCGCTGACCCTGGCGGTGCGCGTGGGTGCCGCAGAACATGATTCGCAACGTGGACCTTGATGAATGATGCGGTGCCGACTGTCGTCAAATTCCCACCAGGCTATAGATGCCTCGTGATATAGGAACAGGGCAAGGGCAGAGTATCGTCACAACGGCGCGAATCTCGAGAAGCACCGACCAGCCTAGTTGCAGTGAATTGTGAACGTTCCCTTCGGCGCCAACCGACAGGGGCTCGTCCGTCGCATCTTTGTTTGCTAATACCAAGTTATTTGTACGGATATCTCCAAAGCCTCCAGGGATATCGCTCCCCCGCACTCGGCTTGCCACTGTTCGTCACGGATACAGTGTAGCCATCGTGAGCTTAGTCCGAGATAGAGATTATTAGGCATCGTACCACACCCTTCTGATGACACCAACCCCCAGTACTCCAGGACCTCACCTCTCACTCCCTCTTTGCTATATGCCAGACCGAGTATCTTTCCTGATCCCGGCCTCGCACAACTTGCTAGCCCTCCGCACCAGTGATCCAGACATCGACTTTGACAGCAAGCTACCTGCCACAACTCTGTTCCTCCGCTGCTCCCCTGATCCTTTCCATTACACGGACGGAGAGGGGAGGCTGGTAGATTGTCGGCAGCAGCCCCTCCCCGCACAAACCGGCGCCGGTACACGGTTGCGGAATCTTTGACTCTACGGATGCTCACGAATCTGCAGATCTTGCTTCATGCCGCTTGCCCTCTGTGCCTCTCCTCTCACATGACAGATGATGGCGTAAGCAATAGCCTCTGTGCCACATTCTTGCGCCAGCCTCACCTGTGTCTTGGGCGGGAAACTGACAAACGCTCGGAGGGCAACATGGTTGATGCAAAGTCGAGCACGGAACACTCATGTTTGACGCATTGCTGACTGGCGCCGTTGAGACCCCTGCGAAACATCGTTGGGCCGTGCAGTACCAGCGTCAGGATTAACACAGCTTTCCTAGAATCCGTAGCTTCGATGCACCTGGTTCCTCCGGACTGTGTAACTTGATTATACAGATATGCCTCTCGCGAGTCGCAGGGTCCCTCAAAGGTCTATAGAGGTCCAGCCCTTCCAACTTCCAAGTTCCAGCCCGGAGCTTGCCTTTATTCTCCGACTAGGAGGATGAGCTTCAAGGGACTCAAACGCACGCCGCTTATACTCCTTGCTGCCCATGCGCGAGGCATATCTTTAATGTAATTGTTAACCCCTCCAACGACATGCTGTCGGCTGTGGCTGAAATGGGGAGCGTGGCGGGCGCAACACCCCCATCCTCTACTTCGTACCATATCCGGCATCGCGGTTTCGGGGCATCGTGGAACACGCCCGCTTCTTTCCTCGCTTTGGACGGTACATCCGGATACGGCAGCTATATCCAACTTTCGTCCATACTCTCCGGCGGGCGGAGGGTCCACGCCGCGGGGCAACGTAGCTCATGTGGGAGCCAACGGCCGACAGGGTAGGCTTACGTGCAGCAAGACCAGCAAGGAAGAAAAAAGTTAGAAGCATAGGCCAATATGGTCCGATGTTGCGAGATGTAGATGAAATCCCTCTCGAGTCACGATGTGTGAGAGGATGACAGGAAGTCGCCGCGGCGTAATCATGGCCATGCAGCAAGAATCTTGCTTTCGGGACCTTTCAAGACAAGCCTCCAGCCTCCACGCGGTCTCGATC